CATAATTTTAGAAACTATGAAATCTAAAATGTTCCTTGAAACAGCGATTTTTAAAATTTTGGGTCTTCGTACCTTTATCAAAATGAAAAAAAAACATATTCATGTATTTTATAAATTTCAAAACAGTAATTTTCATGAAAATTGCTGTTTCAAACTAGTGTCTAAAATTATAGCAATAAATGTTTTCTATTTTTCGCTGGAAATAACCGTTTTCGCTCAAAATACCTTTAAATTTTGATTGAATTGATTTATTTCAAAGTTTTGAATGCTTTCGTTTTTAAAAACAGTGCTATAGAGCCTTCCAGTTAAAAAATTTATTGTGATCTCTTAATTTTCATGAAAATGTTTCAAAATTGCTGTTTCGAAATTTATCTGCATTTGTATTTTATATTTTTGACTTTTCCAGTGAGAGTTTTACACTCATACAACAGTATTTCAGAAATTTTCGATTCGCTTGAAAATTTCAGATTATACTAAACAAAAATAGGGGTTCAATTTTGTAATTGACACTGTTTTGTGAAAATCCAACAAAAGATATGAGAGTTTAACAATATTGCTAATTTCATCCTTTTTGTCACTTTTTTGGTTAGAAACGGCATACCTTATCAAAAATTACAAAAAAGTTGTCGATTACAAAATAGAAGCTCTGTTTTTCTTTCTGTATACTCTGAAATTTCAGACAAACCGAAAAATTCCGGAATACTTTTGTAGGACTTTAAGAATCACAATTTTTTTTTCACAGAAAAAGTAGCTACTTTGATCTCTTAATTTTCCTAAAAAAGTAATTCATCTTTAATAACTGCTGTTTCAAAATTTGAATTATTTCAAAAAACTTCCTTATCTTGCAATATTGTTAAAGAATCAGATTCAGAAAAATAGGTTTTTTTCGGGTTATTGAGAAATGTTCGGTTCTAATTAATTCGATAAGTTTTCTTTTTTTCAAAGCATCCGTTACTTGAATATGGAGTGGAAATTTTGAAAAATGCGAAATCAAAAATTTTTATTGAAACAGTAAAGTTTTCTTGAAATGTTTTTTTTTGAATTTCGGATCCAATAACATTTTGATTAGCTATGCTGTTGAAGTCGACCAAAACTAGTCATCTGGAACAGCAATTTTTCACCAGCAACTTTTGTTTCAGACAAAGTTGCTGTTTCAAATGCAACTTCACTATTTTGGATTTTTAAGTGAAAAATAGTGAGCGTTGACACATTTTTGGTTAGAAAAAGCACATTTTCTCAGAATGAACTTCGTTAAAAATTGTCAACTACAAAGTTGAAGTTCTTATTTTTTTTATGTACCAGCCGTCTGCTTGCCGCGCCTTCGGCTCTTCAATCAGCTAGCTGGTGCGCCTTCGGCGCTTCTCACGTTTTCTTAAAGGATCACAACTCATTTTTCAAGTTTTTCGAAAGTCCACAGCGTGACACCGAGACCAACGAAGATATACGCAAACTTTCAGACAAATCGCCAAATTCTGGAATACTTTTGTAGAACTTCAAAAGTCACTATTTTTCCCTGAAAAAGTATATGATGCAACCTTTAAACTTTCATGAGACAGTAATTTTTCGAAAATTGCTGTTTCAAACTGGTTTTTTTTCTTCCAATAAACGTACTTATCTAATAGGACTGGTGAAAGTGAACCGAATTCAAAAAAAAAAGTCAAATTTAATTCCTGTAAAGTCCCATTTGTAGTGATAATTTTTAAAAATATGAAATCAAACACTTTTATTGAAACAGTATTATTTTTTCTTGAAATGTTATTTTTTTGGATTTCGGTCCGGAATGCAATATTGATTGGCTATGTCATTAAAGACAGTTTGAACTAGTCAGCTGAAACAGCAATTTTTCAAATAAAAATTAATGTTTCAAATGCGAATTTTAATATTTTGACTTTTTCGATAAAAGTAATGGACTTTGGAACTTTTTTTTTGGTTACAAGCGCCTCATAGACTTCAAAAATAATATTTTTTGTCTGTTACTGTACTATGCTGTTTCCCTTGAAAAATAACAGATTCCAATGATTTTAATTTGTGACAAAAAATTAAAAAACACTGTTTCAAAAGATTTGTATTTTTAAAATCGGATTTGATATAATTCAATATGTATGGTGATGTTTTACTACTCATTTTTTACTTAAAAAAATCGAAACAGCTGTTTCAAAATTTCTTCGAATTCTCGAGACTTGAAACTTCTGATAGTGAGGTTTTTCTTCTCATTCCCAGTTCAAACCACTAAACTCTACATTCCGACCAACCAAATGGTCCGTTGCTCATCCTCCCGATTGCTCAGTTTCTATATCATCAAAAACTCGTGATGTTCGTGGTCACATATCTTTTCAAATGCCTAGTTGTTATCCTATCGAGAAGCAAAATGTCAGTTGGCTTTTCTCTGCGTCTCTCCAATCCCCATACTATTTCTCTGTGGAAAACAAAACGTTTTCCATTAACTCTAGGACACCAGGCATCACCAGGGGCCGCCCTGGTCACTTGAGTGGAATTTTCTAGAAAATTCAGATGGCGAAATTGAAGAAATGGATTTCTGTACTCTCAGATCTGATTTAGTTCTATTTTGAAACAGAAAACCCTGTACGCACTGTCTAATAAGAACTTCAAAAATGTTGAAAGTCTTCGGAATTTTTTGAAACTGTAAAAATCCAAAAAAAAATTCCAAGATTACCGTGGCCAATGTGAATAAAAGACTACCAAAAACGAACGGTGTATTCTTTAAGTCTTAATTTTGAAACAGATAAAATTTTGAAAATTTTTTATATCACAAAATTCCCCCAAAATGAAAATATTCACAGGTTACTGTAGTTTTCTTTGTGGGACCCTACAGAATCTTTGATGTACCAATTTTTAGTAAAAATTCTGAAATTATTCCGGTTTACTGTAGTTTTCTTTTTAAAAATAACTGATTTTCGAAAAAATTTCGAAAAGAAATAGGAAGGTTTGAAAATAATCCAGAACTACCCAAATCTTACTGTAATACAAAAGTCTTCAAATTGAAAACTTTTCAGGTTACGGTAGTTTAAGCATCATAGCGTAACTTTAACTCATGGAACTTTCCAGATGTTCCAAGTTTTTTTCATTAAATATTTTATCAATTTTTCGGATTACTGTATTTTTCTGTTTCAAAAATAATTATTCAAAGGGAGAAAATTAATTTTTGTATTAATTAAAGTTTTCTACAAAAGTTTAAAGAAAACATTTGAAAAATTTACAATCACTGTTTCATTAATATTCTAAAAATTTCTGGGGTTTTTTTAGAAGTGCTTCTCGAGATATCAGAAATAAAAATACATTTAGGTTACTGTAGTATTTGTTTTGGCATCTTCCAGAACTTTTAATTTATAAAAATAACGCTCACAGAATCTTCCAGATGTTCCAATGTTTATTCATTAAACATTTTAGCATTTTTTCGAATTACTGTAGTTTTCTGTTTCGAAAATAATTATTTGAAAATATAAAAAACATTATCGTAATTTTTAGAAAATGTTTTTATGATTTTTTCAAATTTCTGTTTCAAAAATATTCTGAAAATTCCTGGGGTTTTCTAAAAATGATAGACTGTATGTTTAACAGTTTTTTAAACATTAACAGACCTAACACTTTTTTTCTAAAATTTCTAGGGAATTCTACCGTAATCTTTAACTTGTTGAACTTTTTCTAAGCTCTTGTGATAGATTCTATTGAGGTCTCATGAATCATGCCATGTTTTTTTTCGGGTTACTGTAATTCAAAAGTAAGTAAAAATGAATTTTACTGTTTCGTGAAACTTTGAAATCATTCTGATTAGTTTTCCTTTTGAGAAAACATTTTCTCATCATCAAATTCTAGAATCATCTAAAACTACAGTAATCCACTCCTCCTTAATATTTCCCAGACCCTTTTAGAACATTCTGTTGCTCATAATCATAAATCCTTCAAGGATCTTCTAGAACATTGAAGATCTTTCCACAAGATCTGCTCACCAGTTGCCCCTCAGGAATGGCAATCATAAATCCATCAATTCCTCATCTTTTCCCTCTGTTGTCATCAGGTTGCCCCTTGTACCCTCCCTCCCTCTCTCTGCTGGCTCCGCCTACTTTCTTCCAATCCAATATTACACTCTCTGTTCCCTTCAGGATCACCCCATTCTTCCAGGATCCAAGAGCAGCCCGTTTTTCTTGTTTGTGCTGCTGAAGTTGCATCATACTATTTTTTTCCCCTGTTTCAAACTTAAGCTAGCTCTCACGAGTTTTCGGTTCACTATTGCAGAAGGTGAAATTTCTGGGATATTTGCAGTTTCAACATCTTGTAGAGCTCTTCAAAATTCAAATTTTCCTTTTTGGATAGTTTAATAATGTTAAATTTAAGTCAAGTTACAGTACCCTCCAAAAGTATATTAATTTACCAATTTTTAATAAAAAATTGCCAACTTTGCATGTACAAAAAGCATAGTAGATTTTGTTCGATGTGTTTGAAAATTTCAGAGTGTACTAAACAAAAATAGAGCTTCAATTTTGTAGTTGACAATTTTTCTGTACAAATTCATTCAAATGAGATATAAAGCTGTAAAGCTATTCCTGAATGTTTTTGGCACTTGGTTAGCTCAAAGCTGTAAATCTTATTTGGATGACTTTTAACAAAAAAGATTACAAAATTATTGCCCTGTTTTTGTTTAGTGTACTTAACAATTCTCAGACAAAATGAAGGTTGGTACTGTAGCTCGCTTCAAACTGTTACAGTAGAAGTCTTTACACTTTGCGTTTAATTATCTCGGTTCCTATGAGAGATATGTAAAATGGATACACCATGAAAACGTTAACGACATTATGATAGACATTTTATCAGTTTACAGATTTTTAGTATCTCTCATAAGAGTCGAAATAATGGAGCTCAAAGTAGACGAGTACCTCAACTACGCTCTTTTTGAATTTTTTCACTATTCCAAAACTCTTTTGCCTTTGTCACAGTATTACTTTTCCCAGTATCCTGTCCATATCACAAGTTAAACTTTTAGAATGAAGTCCCTTCTATTTCTCGCACTTGCTCTTCTCGCCACCACGGCTTTTGCTCATTCCAAACAGGATATGCTGGACACGAATCGAGTTGTTTTGAAAGAATCCGAGTCTGTCGAGTCTGCATCCTGCGATGAGTGCCAATTGGTTGTCAAGAAGATCTCCGAAGCTGCTAAGGATCCAGTTAAGCTGAAGGAATTGAAGATGATCTTGAACGCGATGTGCAGTGAGACTGTCTACGCTAATGAGTGCCGTCTCTTCGTCAGCCAGTTGGACTACTTCATCGACAAGCTTCAACCATTCTTGGTGAGTCAGAGGGGAGAGTTAGGTCAATGGTACAAAGCGTAAACTTTGATAATTGAATTAAAATCTTATTTTATTTTACCCCTAATATGTGAAACAGTAACTTGTTTGAATCCAATTCCAGAGGTTTCAGGATTTCTAATAAATTGGTATGCACCAATTGATTTTAATTTTTCCCCTTTTTCTTAACTTATTCTGTATAAAGAACGAAATAATTTTTCCAGAAGGATCCACGCGCCTTCTGTGCTCGCCTTCACATCTGTGGAAACAAGAAAATCGATACCTTCCGTCGTCTTCTTCTTGATTTCACCAAGCGCGCTGAGAGGATTTATTCCGTGGTAAGTAGTAATTCTCCGGAATTGATTGGTAATAAAAAACTGTAAAGAAGGTGCTATGGTTTGAGCAACCAAGAGTTCTATAAACTTCAGAAATGCGATGTTTTTGAAACATCGATTTTTTTCCGGGAAACGTATACAAAAAATAAGAATTCCTGTTTCAAAAAATTTCATAATCGGAAGTTCACAGATTTTGTTTAGTCGGCATAGCCTTTTCTCACCCGCACAATCAAACGAAAAAATGACGCGAAATTGAAAAAGTTTGAGTCTGAAATTTCGGATTATGATATGAAGCAAACCAATTCTTTGAATATGTGATTTTAAAATGTTTTGAAACAGTAGTTTTTACAATGTCGGTTTTCAGTGCGTTTTCCTATACTTTTCTGGGAAAAATTACTGTTTCAAAATGGTGGAAACCTCTGAAGCTCCTCCTTTTTCAAATATGAATTTCATGTCATTTTCCAGCCAACCATCGTGTGTGATGAGTGTGAATTCGTCGTCAAGGAGCTCAAAACCGTCGTTGAAGACAAGAAGAGCCAAGCTGAAGCACGCGATTTCCTTCGTGAGAACGTTTGCAAGAGTCTCGGACAGTACAGAGGATTCGTGAGTTTTTTTGAAGAAGGATTACTGTAGTGTTCAAGAATATTCAAATTGATTTTATGTTTTCACTGTTTCAAATTACAAAATTATAAGTTTCGGATTTCAACATTTTTAATAATTAGCTTCTCTAATTGTTCTCTAATTGAATCCACCTGCATATCTAACTCTCAAACTTACTGTAACTTTTATTTCAGTGCGATTTGGTCGTCGACGAGTACCTTCCACAATTCATCCAAGAGCTTGACGCCATTCTTGCCGACCCACACCAGGTAAGCCTAAACTCTTAAAGGGAAAATGGCGGCAAATTTGAGTTTTATAAACACTTGAACCGAAAAATTCAAGTTTCCATGGTCAGAAACTGCCAAATATGGAAAAACTAGGTTTAGAAAAACTGAAATTTCGAGTTTTTTTTCATCAAAGTTGATACAAAAGATACTGTTTCAGTTAAAAAAAATAGAATAGTTTTAAACTATTAGTTCCACTAGTAAATACTTCGAAAACATTCGACAAATTCAAATTTATAAACTTCAAAAGTATTAGGTTGGAAGGAAAGTAACTGTCCATTTTTTAATTCGTGAATAACATAAAAACAAGAATTATCCAAGATTGACAGTATGCACCGTCGTGGTCCAGGACATGCTGACAACGTTCAGGTAACTTGTGGATACCGTCCCTCCAAAAGCCCGCTGGCCGCGACCCAAAGTATTTTTTCCGTCCAGATTTTATCTCATCTACAGTGTTGAATTATTCCCCTCCAGATGACATTGCATATCTTCTAATAACCAATAATGAAAGGGCCAAGTCAGGAGTTTGAGGGGGCGTGAAGAAAAACCGCCTGATGGCTTTTTGGAGGGATGGTATCCACAAGTTACCTGAATGTTGTCAAGATGTCGTGGACCACGACGGTACATACTGTCAATCTTGGATTATTCTTGTTTTTATGTTATTCTCGAATTAAAAAATGGACACTTACTTTCCCTCCAACCTAATACCAAAACTATGTAATTTTTTCTATTTTTGAAATTTTTCGACATAAAAGTTACTGTTTCAAAATTGGAACATTGCTCGACTAGTTTTGAAACAAATTGGTAAACTTCGATTCGCAAAATCTTATCATTTTAGGTGTGTGTTGACATCAAGGCTTGCAACGCTGGACAAGGATTCAAGGCTCGCAAATATGTGGGTCTTCTCGGATGGTTCCAACGCAATTCCCTCTAAATATCTGTCTTCTATTTTTCCTCAAATGTGCCTTTTCCCCCTATTTTGCCCCCTTAAATTGCATAATTCCCATTTTCCCAAGCTTTTTTTTCTCCCTATGTTTGTCGTTTAAATAAATTCCTTGCTTTTCCAAAAGTTTTCAGAAAATTCCAGAAAAACACAATTTTAGCTTCCGGCTACTGTAGAAGAAATGGAGAAAGTGGAGAATGACGTGGACACATTCTGGAGTGGGTTGATTATGGAAAACAACATAGGACAGGTGAGTGTGATGGTGGCCTAGAAGCACCGAAATCAAGTTATGCTACTGGCTGAAATATGTGGTGAATAATTTTTCCAGGTCCTCGCAATGTCATGTTTCGAGTGCAAATTCCTTGTTGAAGATATGGGAACGGATATGATTTCGAACAGAGTAAGTTACAAATCTCTTTATGTTTTTGCATTTCGAAAAAACTGAAATTTCCGGTTCACACAGTACTAATCTAACCAGCGTCTAAAAATATAATTATTAAATAGAACTCTGTCTTTCCAGAAGAAGTTGTCTGGCGACGTTCGTGATTTTGCATGCTACAAGATTGTGACCGCCAACATGACAGCATCTTGTATTGATTTCTTGGACCTCTACCTTCCAACTGTCATTCAGATGACAATTGAACAATTCACTCCATTGGGTATTTGTCAAGCTAACAAGTGCTGTCCACCAAACTCTGGTATGTGTACTTTAGGGAAAAGAATCAGACATTACAAAAAGCGGCGGAAGCAAAAAATAACTTTTTTAGATTGATCCTTTGAAATCTGAAATTTCAAATTTCCATAACCCCGAAGATTTTAGAAGCTCCTGTCTACTCCACAAAAAAAATGAAAGCATTACTGTTTCAATACAATTCCAACAAGATGATTTGAAGTTTCAAATCTAAAGTATACTTTTTTCAGAAGAAGTTCTCCGTGCATTCACTTATCAAGAAGTTCAAGCGGAAAAGTGTCCAACAATGAAATCATTGGAGTCATACGTCGCATCCAATATCATCGGAAGTCCAATCGAAAAATACTTCGAGAATTCGTTGACTGATACCATTTGCTCGCATTCGATTTCTCTATTCCAGCCTACTGTAAGTTCTTCTTTTGTTGAAATAAGAAAAACCGATTGATCATGAACATATTAAAATCATCTAATTTTCATATAATTTTGAAACAGATAAAAATGTTAAAATCACTAAGATTTCCTTTTATTTCATCAACCCCACAAATCACCCTCACTCAGATTCGTACTCATTTTGAAGCTCGTCACTTTTCCAGAAAACTAAATTCAAGAACCTTCCTAAAATTTTAAACAAATTTTCAGTGCCAACGTATCATGTCTGCTGTCGCTCCAAGATTCGCCAGTTTGACTGCAGTTTTGGCCAGCGAGAACAAGTTTAGTCAGGCGGTAAGTTTCCAGAAAATTCCCTTTTTTAATAATTTCAATATTTTCAGCTCCTCTGCTAACTTCACTTAATCCTGTTTCGTTCTTTTTCGAATTAATAAAGCACTTCATTTTATTGTATCAAGGGTTTTGTTTTCAGAAAATTAACCTCTCAGCCTTTTTTCAGGTTTCGATCATTTTGAATTAAAAACGAGCAGAAGTGTTTGGAGCTCAAATCATGTTGAAAAACTAGAAACATGAAGTTTCAAAAACCAAAAACCTGCTGTTTCAATTCATGAAGATAACGACGTCTCCAGAAAATAGGTACTTACTCTTTGTTTCGCTCAGAACCATCCTCTTCCTCTTCATAACCCTAAAAAAAGGGTCACCACTTGACCCACAGCTGCGGTGTGGCAGATGAATATAAAAACGAACAGCTGGAAATACTTTTTCAACAACTTTTTAGAAACCTAGATGAGCAGATGTTCCAAATTTGTCTGTACTAATAGTAAATAACACAGTTTATATAGAAGGAAACGGATTTTGAAATAATTCAGAAGAATCATAAATTAAACAATAAGGCTTAGCACAGCTACGGTAGTTACGGTAGCTACCTCAGAATGTTCTTTGAAGAATTATCCATGAAGATAAGATTCGAAGCTTCTGGAAATAATAAAAGTGGTAGTCGGGGAATTAATAGGGTTCTGTGGGACGATTGGAGTCAGAATTGAAATCTGATTTGGTTCCTCTGGCAAATCGTGTCTTGAAATGAATGCAGTTACACTTGAACTGTTGACTGGAGTACGGTAGTTTACAGTTTTTGATAGACGCTCCTTCAGGAAGATGTGAGGGAATTTAGTGATGGCGTCACTACCGTCAGAAGTCTCCAGATGCTCGATGAGTTGATTGATGTACTTGGCGGCTTCTCTCAAACAAATCATGTTACCATTAATTAAGTGCGTATTGACTAGTATGAGGTAAATTCTTTGAAACAGGAAAACGAAAACTTGAAACAGTAGTTTGGAAAAAAAACAAATAATTCGTTTTTTTCCTGTTTAGCTCAAGTTATACGTTTAGAATATTCGAACAAAGATAAAAAGTAATGTTTCAAAAGATTTTGATTAGAGTAATAAGATTAAAATACTAATACCGAAATTAATGCCAAAATTGAACGATATGTGGGCATGAAAAAAAGGATTTCTCGGAACTTGTGTAAAACCTACCGTAATGCCTGTGCTCTTGAAAGACGAAGTCTGAATTCCGATGGTGGTAGAAGACTGATGAGAACATCGAACATTTCGTTCATTTGGGACACTCGTTGACGTTCGCGCCTGCAATAATTATTACGGTTTCATCGAAAAAATATAAAAAATCGAGAATAGAGATAAAGACAATATGATAAACAGTAACCTTGGATTCACAGTACTACTAAATTTTCCAAAACTTACATATTAGCTCTCAACCGCTTCGTCGGTTCCATCCTTGGATCCTTGTAATTCTTCGATTTGTTGGATCGAACCATTTTTCAAGTTGGCGAAGATGAGCAATGAAATGAAAGAGGGCGGATATCTAAAAGAAGATGAATATAATTCTTTTCTAGGGGGACACACTACCACCTGTTACATAACCAGATGCTCCCTTCTCTAGATAGAATAACTCGAGGAAGTATGAACTTTTCTTCTTCTTTTTTTTCTAGATTTTCGAGAAGAACTATTTGTATAGTGTCAACTTGCCATCAATTGGATACAGTGGGAAAACTGAAAATAAAACAAAATCAATAAAAAACTGCCAAACTACGTAGTTGGCAGCCGATGCTTTTGGAAAAGTCGGCTATTTGCCTGGGACACCATAGTCAGACCACGATATCTACCGTATTCCATGCTTGCATGCATTTCAGTAGTCATGGGGTAAGGTAGTCGAGATACGAAAATGTGTAAAACCCGATTACTGTACACCATCACGCAAAAATTCGTTAATTCCTCTTAAAAACCCCTGTTTGTCAATTTTGGCAATATTGCCGTTTCAAAGATTTCGTTAAAAAGTTTTCAGTGTTTTCCAGACACTGCATCTTCCTCCATTATACTGACAAAGTGTTCGGATTATTTTCAAATTCACGTTTTTGGACGAAATCTGAAAATTTGAAAATGAATCAAAAAACTGGCGCGAAACCTTTTCCTGCTTCTGCGCCCCTATCGCAAATCCAGGTTCACCGAACTGCGTTAGAAACACCATGTTGGACGAGAGAATGGACGAGAAATGGACGAGAGAATTTCTGAAAAACGCAGAAATCTTTTACTTAAAAACTGTGTAATCGTAAAATTCGTGGAATTTCATTGGCAGAAAACCGACATACGGTCAAAAATTCATCGGTGAACTCTCCTATTATTTCATTTTGATTTAGAAATTTAATTGAGGAAACCGTTTGAAATTATCTATCTTATTAATTTTAAAAGTTTTTCGTCTGACTTTTTGAAGTTTTCGCAGTTTTTAGGGATGTTCAGAAAGTTCAGGATTTATAGTTTTTCGAATTAAAAAACTGGATTTTTTAGAGTTTTTAGTTTTCTAACCATTCCTCCGTTTTGTGATAATTCTTACATCCAACTTTAGTCATCTGGACATCTGGACACTTGGAGAAACCGACAAACGAACAACTTCCCCGTAATTATCCTGTCCTAGTTGTTCATTCTCCACTTTTAAAAATTGATGTTTAGTATTCTTTAGAATTTCTTTAGCATTCTTCTTGTTGAATTAGATATATGTTTTGTTCTATAGTTGAAACTACAATTTCCTTTGGCCTAAAAGTTATTTGGGGCGCGATTTTTGACCCGTTGCCTTGGACCCGAGTGTATACGAGTTTTTTAAATTAAAATACTCCTTTTTGCGTTTTTCTGTGAATTATTGAAATATCTCAACTTTATAAAAAGCAATGAAAAGTTTGAAAAACAGTGGTTTCCAGTTTCTAGACTCCGAACTTCTGCTGCAAACGTCACTTCACTTCCGCCTACCGCCAACTTTCGCCTTCCGCCTTCACTTCCGCCCTTCCGCTTTTACTTCCGCCTCCCACAATGTCACATTCCAAAAATCTCCAAAATCCCAAAAGCTGCTGAAAATTCGGAAAGCTCCAAAAATACCAAAAAACAACATTTACAAAAAACCAAGGAATCGATCAATCTTTCGATGAAAGTCAAAATTTCAAAGTTGATCAGTTTTGAAAATGAAAAAAAATTATAAAAAGTTATTGGAGAAAGAACATCGAGGTTTCGCTTTTTTTTAATTTTCTGTTTCAAACTCGAATCGAGAACTTCAGATATACGATTTTTCTTGATCACACGAGGGGATTGTATTTGTTTGTGTTTTCCTGTGACTTAGGAAAACTCATTTTTATGCTAAATTGAGCAATCATTGGATTCCGTGTTTTTTTTAAATTCCAAATTTCGAATTGGGGATATGCATCAATCTTTTAAACTCGAAAATATAGCCAAAGGAAAAACTGAAATTGCTGTTTCAAAGTTTTACGCCTCTAGTTTAGTACTGTGTAAAATTAATAAGCGTTTGAGTCAGACAGTTTTTCGAAATTTTTTCAGCTCGAAAATTTTTTTTATCAGTCCAAATCACATTCCACAAAAATTTCAATAAACTTACAAAAGCCTAGAATAATCTTCGAAATTTCAAAAATGCTGGAAATGTCCGACAACTCCTGGTATTCAAAACACCTGTCCATTAGTATTTTTTATTTTTTACAGTAATCCAAGGGAACTTTTTTCAAGTACCAGCACATCTAAAATTTTAACTTCTGTTTCTAACAAAATATAGAAAATGGTTCTTTTTTTGAATTTTGTTTATACAATGAACACAGGAAATTACAGTTTCAAAGTTTTTGAATTTTCTATGCATGTCGTTGTAAAATTTGGCTTAAAAATTGAAAAAAAAAACATTTTCCACCATTTTTCGACCAATTTTTTTCTGCTTCAGTGTTCCGTACAACGATCTCAGTGTTCAATTTAAAAATTCAAAAAAAAGAAAATCGAGAATTCGTTTTTTAAAATTTCTGTTTCAAACTCGAATTGAGAAATTCAGGCGTACAAGTTTTTTTGATAGTAGAGTCATTTTTTTGCATTTTCTAGTAATTCAGGAAAACTCTCATTTCTGTACTAAATAAAGCAATAAAGTCTGAAAACTAGAGAAGACCAAACTCCAGATTCCGTTTTTTTAAAATTCCAAATTCAAATTCCGGATTTTTTAAACTCCAAGAACGGTTATAATTAAAAAAAAACCGAAAACCACTGTTTCAAAATTTTACGCCTCTGATTTTTTAATGTGTGAAATTGATGAAACATTTTCAAAATTAATAGGTATTAAATTCATTTTTTCATGGTGGGTCCCCCTTCCAAAATCCATGTTTTTAGTTCAAAATTCATTGAAAAAGATGACAAACAAGGTCACACGGTTTCGTGGAATTCCGTGTCTCTCTGTGACCAGAAATTAAAGAAAACTCTAGTGTATTCTGGGTCATAAATTAGAGTGATTGAGGTGCTGCACATTGGAGCCAACACCACTGATAAGAGCTCGAAAATCGCTTGATAAATACCAGGACACGTGTTGGAAAATTTTCAGTTTTCTTGACTCTTCGCTGTCAAATACATAATTTAACTTTCTATAATTTAGCAATGAAACCGGTCCTGATTTTTGCTGTTCTCGCCGCACTGACTGTTGCAAGCCAAGCCAAGGATGCCTTGTCGGCTTGTGATTCTTGTAAATCGGTGAGTTACAGTAATCCAAAAAAATAAGGCCTACGGTAAGCCCAATCTATCAGATGGTCCAAAACTTCATCGACGCCTCCAAGGACAAGATGAAGATGTCTCAACTCAAAATCTCGCTTTCCATGATGTGCGCCGGAACTTCTCATCAAGCGGACTGCTCCAAGACCGTTGACAAACTGGATTTCATTGCCTACAAACTTGCTCCATACTTGGTAAGACCTACAATAATCCTGGGGTTTGCTATCTAAAACAGTATTTTGGCCCCATACTTGGTATGACCTACAGTAATCCTGGAATGAGCTATCTAAATCAATATTTTTGCCGTATACTTGGTAGGACCGTAATCCTACAGTTACCCTGGCATTTGGAAAATTGACAGTAATCCCAAATTATTTACAATAGTTTATTTGGTACAGTAAATAGTATGTGGTATTGCTTCAACCGGTTGTCTGAAGAATTGTATAGAAAACTTTCTAAATTAGATAAAAATATTTTGAAACTGTAAAAAAAATTAGTTTCCATATCTTTCGGATAACTTATGATACATTTATCCTACAGTAGTTTTATGGCGTACCGTAATCAGGTTACTCTGAAAATTGAATCAGGAGGAAATATTGCGAACGTAGTATCGCGAAAACTATCCAGGCTAGATTGAAATTTTTGTGAAACAGTGAAAAACAAAAAGGGTATCATTTGACATCACTGAAATCTGAACCAAGTAGCTCTAAGTCATATACAGTAAGTCTATGAAAGTACAGTAATCCAAAGTTGTTTACAAACTCGAACTCCTTCCCCACAAACTTGCTCCTTACTTGGTAAGGCTACAGTAATCCTTGCTACAGAGTCCTCAGAGTTTGAAAAGTGTATAGTAATCCAAATTAAAAAAAAAAACGTCGATTTGATTGTGAGCAGTAAAAACACTGAACAGTTAGACATATTTTGAAACTGTAAAAAATCTAGTTACAGTAATCCTACAGTAGTTAACCCAGATAGCTTAAATCCGGTTACGGTAACAATTCGGTGGTCCAAGAGCTATCCAGTCTAGATATAAGTTTTTGTGATACAGTGAAAAATATAAAACGCTGTTATATGCTTCGTTAGAAAGGGTACAGTAATATTAGTGAGTCTATGAGAGTGAAGTAATCCAAAACAGACCAGAGTAAATAATTACTCGAAAGCGTACAATTATCGGTACATTCTTACAATGAGAGGTATATTCAAGCTTTTTGAAACAGTGAAAAAATTCACGAAAAACTACAGCAACCACTTGAATGTACAGTAAGAAAAAGTGTTACCGTTTCAAAATGAGTCTTAGATTCTCGTGTCTATTTCAAAAATGAAGGTCGAACCAGATTTAAATTTTCTAGTCTTACTGTATTGTAGAGACAATTTGGCCATCGTCAATGAATTTTTCAAAAAAAATCCCTGTTTCAATAATCCAACTTCTAAACTCTTCGAAATATAGCAATGTTCTCTCATCGTCATTCGTTTCTGAGTGTGAGCTCTAACTTTCATAGTACTGAACCAGGGAACGTAGATCAAAAATTCAGAATTTTGAAAACTAAGCCAAACTTCTGAAGTCTTTGTCCAGCTTCAAGCTGAATGAAGCTCTCATCCTTACTCAATTTTCCCAATCACCGTAACCGATGAATTCCAGAAAGACACCACCGCCGTTTGCTCCAAGCTTCAAATGTGCGGAGAGTCTCAATTCTCTCCACTCGCTCGTCTCGCAATGCTCTATTTGAAAAAGTCGGAGAGCATCGTGGCAAATGATAACATTATGGTGCGGGCGTTTTTAATCAGCTTGTTAATTTATAGGAATTTCTAGAGACAACAAGTTTGTGACGAGTGCCAGGCATCATCGGGACAACTAGGACAACTCTTTGGACAGGATTTCACTGCCTACGCTGTGAGTTTGGGAGTTTTACTGTATTACATAAATGCCACAGACTGGACTAACAGTCTCAAAAGTCTAATAAAGAAATTTTTGAAGCAGTAAGTTTCTACTGTTTCATAAATTCTAAAAAACCGTATTCTAATAATACGGATTTGGTAGATGAAATTCATTCCAAATTTTACAATCTGTAGCTTGAGTTAAGGAGAAAAAACCGAAATTTTTAAAATTACTGTTTCAAGTTTTGGTAAAAGCTTTCGTTTCAGCACATGAATTATGGAAGTAATAAACTCAGGAATTATTTTTAAACTTAAATGACACTTGAAACTTGAAAAAGTATCTGCTCAATGATCTTGCAGGGAATTTCAGAATACAACAAAAAACAAAAATTACTGTTTCAGTTTAGGTATTCCAAGGTTTAAACTTCATTTTTTAGTGTTGACACAAATTATGAATGACTAAATGATCGAAAAGCTTTTCATTTTCACTATGAAAAGTAAAAATTGTTATTTTAGCGAATTATTCTGTTATAAACCATTTTCATTTTACAAACAAAAATGACTATGCATTTATCTGGAACAGCAAAAAAAACCGTACAATAAAAGCCATTAAGAAGACCCCATATATCCTCTTTTTTGAGCCAATTTATCTCGGTTTCTCTGAAAGATATCGAAAAGTGGTCAACTGACAAAATGTTTATCATAATGTAATAACAATTTTGTTAGTTGATCACTTTTTGATACCTCTCACAGGAAGCGAGATAAATGGGCTCAAAGTTAAAAACAACCGTAGCTCAGCTGGGAGCACCTCTAACAAAGGAACTTCAATTTCAACTCCTCGAGGGGCATACATATATGAGCAAAATTTCAAAAATATGTATTCTTGATGTTCACTCTCATCAAATGACTCCTCAAACAGCATTCAAAATTTCAATCTCAAAATTTTATTCAAAATCGTTTAAAACAGCTTTAATATTCTTTACTTTGCATGAATGAAAATCCAAATTAATAAATTTCTTTAAAGGTCAAAAACGCCATTCAACGTTTCGTTTGCCGTAGCGCCGGAAAAGCTCACAAGGCATGCAACATCTTCGTTTCCTCCATTATTCCAGACTTGATGACCGAAATGAAGGAAATCTTCACTGAGAAAGAAATGATGTGCTCCAACATGGGATTGTGTGCCGCCAATACCAAGAGAGCCGCCCGTCCAACACCAAAACAGCCATTGAATGATTTGTGGAAGACCATGGGAACTGTTAAGACCTCTAATGGAGAGGAAATGATGTCTTGCTTTGAATGCACACTTGGAGCTGACACCCTTCTTGAGGAGTTCATTGATAAGAGAGTGAGTTTTCAAGGATGCTTTAGAATCTCTCATAGGAGCCGAGATATTTGTTTTGAAGGCGTTTTTGGACATCTGGATATACAGATTTTGGACAGAGAAAAATACAAAAAAACCCATCACTTTATTACTTTCATTGAGATATTCAAAATATGGAAAACAATTTGAAACAGCAATTTTTCGAAAAAACATTCGTCGTAATTCATTTCAATTATTTTGGTTGTTTTGAAAGATATCAAAAACTTGTAAACTGATAGAATATTTGTGATATTATGACCAACATTTTTCTAGTTGACAGATTTGTGATACCTCTTATAGGAGCCAGGATAATTGAGCTCAAAACTACAACACCTATTTCAGCAAGCCACCGCCGACGACATCCAAGCCGAAGCGTGCGACCACGTCGTTCCAGGAGCCTGGGGACCAGGATGTCAAGATTTCGTCCACATGTACATGTCCACTGTCCTTTTCTTGACCTACAATCAATTCGACGGACGTGGTATTTGCACTATGATTCATACTTGTGAGAAAAAGGAGAATGGTACGGTTACTGTAGTCTAATAGCTAATCCCGGAACTTTTTTTTTCAGCTCTGATGGCTCTTGCCAAGCCAGAACGTGCTCAGATCGGATGTGCCAACTGTCAAGTGGTTGAGAAGTTCATGGCTGAGAACCAAGAGGCTCTTCACGCTCACGCTGTTGATGGAATCTACTCGAACGTCTGCCAGAAGCTTCCAACCGCTTTGGGAACTATGGTAAGAATTTGAAATCAAAAGAATGAAACGGGATTTTTTCAAAAAGCAATTTTTCATATTGAAGTTGAAACTGTATTTTTTAATGTCGCAATTTTCAGTGCGAACAATCGGTGATCCGTCTCTCCGAGAAGTTCTTCGCCCAGTCCGCCAAATTGGCTGCCAGTGGAGCAATGTGCTCTCAGGTTTGTTTGATTCAAAATTTTTCTGCGACATCACTTTTTTGCAGTTGTGCTAAGCGGATCGGATCAACTGGAGATAAACATTTGAACATCTCAATTAATCCTCCAAAGTAATGAATAAATCATTTTTCAATCCCAAAAACAGGCTTGTGCACATTACATAAACCGTTTGGAGACCAGCATTAGTTAATTTTGAAACAGTAAATTTTTATGGTTTAAAGAAATATTGAAACATATAAGTTGTTTCTAAAAGTTTGAATTCAGTCACTACATAGAAGTCTCTGAATTGCACTTAAAAACCTTGGAGATCAAATTCTCAATTTTTGAAGTCAAATGAATCAATTTTCGTCCTTCACCAAGAATATGAACATACTTCACAAACTATCAGATACACAAATAATCATTGAAACAGAAAAAAAATATATAAATCAACCAAAAAGCTGAAATTTAGGTTTTCTAAAATTCCCAATCTGTAAACGCAGAAAATAGGAACTCAGCATATTTGCAATGGTCCGGGTTTACAGTGATGTGTCGCCGATTTATGAATTTGTAAAAAGAGTTTGATGAATTTTTTAGATAGAAGAATCGACGAACTAACTGGGAATTATTGTTACCACTAACATTTTATTTATGAAACAGTAAATTATACAAATTTTCAATTTTGAAAAAAAAACATGTTTTAACCTTTTTACGGTGGCCCATACTCCCAGGGGTCATCGAAATAGGGGGCATCGTGCTCAAAGGGGGCATACACTCATAGGGGTCACTAACTCATAGGGGGCATCCTGAAGTTGTCTCTTAGGGGGCATCCCACCATGTCTCATAGGGGGCATCGGACCAAATGCTCCCAGGGGGCATTGATAGTCTCATAGGGGTCATTGAGATCAATTTGAGTATATGATTCTGAACATGATGAATTTTTGTTTTTACATCTTTTTCGTAGTTTTTTGAGGAAAACAAACACAATTGCAGACTATCGAAGGTGTTATTTCGGAGGGTCAACTGGGTAGAATTTCTGCCTAAAATTCGGGGTACAACTTATTTCATTCAGGGGTACAACGCAAAAAACATGAGAGTGAAATAGGCAAGGGAAGTAATAAAACCAAAATTCAGTTTTTCCTGTTTCAGATTTTTTTTGAGCAACTTTTAGTCGTCGAGATCGGTGCAACAATGTCGGGAAAACGCTGATTTTTCAAAAGTGACAAGTATGAAACAATAATTTTTGTCAACACCGACAATGACTTAAGCGAAAAGGGAAAAAGAGATTGAAATTTTTTTGGGTTTCCACATGTCAGTCTCTCTACTACCATAACCTATAGCTACGGTAGATACAGCTTTTCGAAAATTTGAAAAAAAAACAAGAAAGTTCATATTTACTCGAGTCTAGAGAAGGGAACATCTGGTTATGTAACAGGTGGTGTGTCCTTTTAGAAATGAGTTATACTCATCTTTTTTAGATATCCGCCCTCTTTCATTTCATTGCTCATCTTCACCAACTTGAAAAATGGTTCGATCTAACAAATCGAAGAATCACAAGGATCCAAGGATGGAACCAACGAAGCGGCTGAGAGCTAATATGTGAGCTTTGGAAACTTAATAGTACTGTAGATTCAAGGATACTGTACTTTACCATAGGCTTGCAATTAGAGCTAATTAATGAGTTCATTTGGTTACTGTAGTAATCCCGTGGTGAAATGTATTCTTTGGATTAGTCACCGCTATTCTTTAATTTCCTATATTTTTCCTATGAAACCAAAATAATTATTCTAGGCGTGAACGTCAACGAGTGTCTCAAATGAACGAAATGTTCGATGTTCTCATCAGTCTTCTACCACCATCGGAATTCAGACTTCGTCTTTCAAGAGCACAGGCGTTACGGTAGGTTTTTATACTTTTCTCGGGGCGAGAGTATGCATTCTGACGTGACAGTGTACAGTGGGGAGACCCACAAGTTCAACTCCCCGATGGGCTTGTAAACACCGATCAACAATCTTTAAATCAAAAAACTATTCAAAATCTTCTGAAACAGCTGAAACTTCTTTTTTTTAATTTTCAATTTCATTAATGCAATCATATAATAATTTGTTTAAGAGAAGCCGCCAAGTACATCAATCAACTCATCGAGCATCTGGAGACTTCTGACGGCACTGACGCCATCACCAAATTCCCCCATATCTTCCTAGAAAATCGTCAATCGAAAACCGTAAACTACCGTACTCCAGTCAACAGTTCAAGTGTAACTGCATTCATTTCAAGACACGATTTGCCAGAGGAACCAAATCAGATTTCAATTCTGACTCCAATCGTCCCCCAGAACCCAATTTATTCGTTGCCCCCGAGTACAACTTTTATTATTTCCGGAAGTTTCGAATCTTATCTTCATGGATAATTCTTCAAAGAACATTTTGGAGATCGACTATACTAATATTTTTTTCCTCGGTATAAAAAATTTTGTTATTTACAATTAGTACAGACAAATTTGGAACATCTGCTCGTATAGATTTCAAAAAAATTGTCAAAAAGATTTTCCAGCTGTCCGTTTTTGTATTTATCTGCCCCAACGCAGCTGTGGTCAAGTGGTGACCCTTTTTTTGGTTATGAAGAGGAAGATGATGATTTGATGCAACAAAAGAAAATGATTACTTATTCTCCGAAGGCTTCAGAACAGAAACAGCAATTTTTGTTTTTCCACATATTTTGAGCTCTACCAGCTTCTGATCCTTTAAATTAAAGAAATCGAAAACAGAAAGCATTCCTATGTTCTGTTCGCAAAAAGATTTATACTTGAAATTTAAACATAATGAATCCGCTAATAGAATGACTCAATTTCTATGTGCCAACTGTCAAGCCGTTGAGAAATTCATGACTGAGAACCAAGAGGCTCTTCACGCTCACTCTGTTGATGGAATCTTCTCGAACGTTTGTCAGAAGCTTCCAACGGCTTTGGGAACTATATATAATCAGGCTTTTTAGAACCACTCGGAGTGGGACTTCTCAAAAAGAGAATTTTCCAAAGTCAAACTGAAACAGTATTCTTTCTCTCTTCTAGCCTTTTCAAAACAGTACAGTGTTCCCCATTTTAAGAGCAAACAATCGGTGATCCGTCTCCCCGAGAAGTTCTTCGCCCAGTCCGCCAAATTGGCCGCCAGCAGAGCAATGTGCTCTCACATGTCAGGTTTGTGCCAATATTTAACTTGTACTTTTTTCTGTGATCTGACATCACTATTTTTGCAGTTGTGCTAAGCGGATCGGATCAACTGGAGATCACAAGTTTTGAACATTTCATTGATCAATCCTTTTTGAAGTAAAAATAAATAATTTTTCAGTCGCAAGTAGAGATTCTGGTTGTTATTGTGAACTTAAAAATAATTGGCCATACATATGAAATTTTAAAAAATCGATTCGAAATGTGTAGATTACATTAATCATTTAGAAACCAGTGAAAACTAGTACAGTTCATAAATCGGCAATCCTTACTAAATTTTTTTGAAACAGAACTGTTGTTTTTTAATACAACAACGAAGGATTTTTCAATGATAATCTTTGTGGGATCATTCCCCACTTTACAAACTTTTTCATTATGAAAAATGGTTGAAGCTGTAGAATAATCGAATCTAGAAATTCTCGAGGCTATTTTGGTGTAGCATTCAAAGGTTTTCACCAAGTTAGCCGTTATTTTAGAATTCCAATGATTTCCAAAATACCATCGAAGCGTTTGAAATTTTTTTAAAGTTTAACATTTTTGAAACAATAATTTTTTGAAAAATGTGACAATTTGACTGAAATCCTGTTAACCATTTTTTTTTGTCCTGAAATTCGAAATTTGAAACAGAAAAAAGTTATTGTCACAATCAGTTCATTCAAAAAAACATAAATGTGAATGATTTTTCAAGAAAGACTACCCACTAGTAGAGGTATCAATGAAAAGTCCATTATGAAACAGTGAAAAATTCTAATTTGAATTTTTTTTTCCTTCTCTTTCATCTTTGAATTACCGTGAACAATTTGATAGAAAGACCCTTTCCTAACTTCTAGTCTCGAGCTGATTTATCTCAGTTTTTGTGAAATATAAAAAAAATGGTCCACTAGTGAAAGATACATGGGTTCGAATTTGACGGTTTGATAAGAATTTTGTTAAAGTGCTTACGGTAATTCATCGTCAGTAGATTCATTTTAATTATTCTTTCCGTACCATCTAGCGGTTGGATTAACTTTCATTTTACATCCTCATAACGAAAAATGATTGAAACAGTAGAATAATCGAAACTCTCGAAGCTATTTTCGTGTAGCATTTAAGGGTTTTCACCAAGTTAGCCGTTATTTTAGAATTTCAATGAAATAATATCTCGAAACGATCGAAGCATTCAAAATGTTTAAAAATTAAACATTTTTGGAAACAGCAGTTTTTCGAAAAATGTGCCAATTTTAGCGGAATATCGAAGCAAGAAGCTTTTTTTCTGTCCTAAAATTTCGAATTTCAAACTGAAAAAATATAATTTTCAAAATCAGTTCATTATGTGCACAAAAAACATGAGGATGGAACAGGCAAGGGGAGTAATAAAACCATAATTTCAGTATAAATTTAGAAATCCATATTATCCGAAGACTCGTTCATGCTGTCTGGTCCGCCACGTCTTCCCATACCTCCTCCTCCCATTCTCATTCCTCTTCCACCTCCCATCCCCATCATCTCTCCAGAATCTCCACCACGTCTTCCCCCTGGTCCACCTCTTCTACCTCCTGGTCCCATTGGTCCTCTTCTGAATTGTCCACTGATGAAGAACAGGGCTGGAATCTCTTGTGGGTATTGGGTCTTCAAGTTGTCAATGGCCTCTTTCATCTGTTGACGGGTCTGATTCTTATTGTTCATGACTGATCCCAAGGCGGTCTGGGCGGCCGAGAGTTGGCTGACCACTTGAGTGACGTTTTGTTGGACCTCGTTTTTGTGAGCAGTCATGTTAGCTTCGAATTGGGTGTAGATGTCCTGGAAATTAGAGAAAACAATGGACGAATTTGAAGCGGTCGATTTGTATCTCAAAAATTTTCAATTTTTCTAAAAATTTCAGAGTGTACTAAAAAAAACTAAAGCTTTATTTTTGTAGTTGACAACTTTTCATAAAAGTCAAGTCCTAAGGAGATATGTGGCTTAGAAGTACGCCCTTTCTCACGACAAGGGGGGGGGGGGCGTTGGTGGGCGCCACTTGCCCTGACATATCTCCTCGGGTATTGGTTTTCAAAAAAAGTTGTTAACTACAAAAAAACCCCTAGTCTTTTTGTTCCGTATATTATAAAAATTTCAGGTAAATCAAAAAAGTTTGACATTATATCGTAGCTCTTGAAGTTAAGCTAGTGAAATTTCTCAAAAGGTTAACCCTTGGCTTGTTTCAAGCTGTATATCTTATTTGGATGAACTTTTATAAAAAAAGTTGTCAACTACAAAAATGTAGCTCCAGACTGTGAAATTTCGAATCAATTTGAAAAAGTTAAAAATTGTGTTGTTGGGCTTCAAAGTGAGATATTTTTCATGCACAAGTTTAGCTCTAAACCTTGGCTGTTTATGAATTGAGATTTACAAATTCACAGCGGATCCAGAAACTCTAGCAAAAACTTATTATTTATTTATTTGCACCAAACAAAACGCAAACAATACAAAATTTTTAATTATTTTTCTAAACAATATTCTGAAACAGTAACCTTTTTTTACTCACCGACACTCCATAAGTCTGTGCCCATGTCGCTGTCTGGCTCTCCATATCAGCGATAGTCAAGTTCTGATTGCGCATGATATCGAAGAATGCTCGTCTTCCTTCGTCAGTGACATTCTGAAGGAATGGTGGCATTGGTGGTCCTTGTCTTCCGCGGCCTCCAGGTCCTCCGAACCCTCCTGGACCTCCCGGCCCTCTTGGACCAGCAAATACAGTAGCCAAAGCAATAGAGAAGAAGATAATAGCTGTCGAGTAGCTCATTTTTATAATTGAATGATGACTTGTTTCCCTTTACCAGTTCGTTTATATAGTACCTGTTCCCTCGGCCCCACCTCCACTTGTTTTGTGTCGCTGATCTTTCTCTGCGTCTCTCCATCTTTCTCTTTTTTCGGGGAAAGTAAACTGTGAGTCATGGTTTTTTGTCCCGACTGGTCTCCGGATGGAATTGGTCATTTTACCTGCTATTTGACCCTCTATAGAGCTCATAGGCTATTATACAAACAAGAAAAAGAAGCTGTCAATTTGTTCCGTGTAGTGCAGTTGTGTACAAAAGTTATGCTTTCCATAGTTAGTAGACAAGGAAGTAAGGATTTGGTTTTTCTACTTAATTGGTACCAGAAGTCTAGGGAATGCTTAGTAGCCGAATAGACGCAGACAGTTAGAAAGTCTAACTTCTCTGAATCTCCAATAGAATAAGGTATCAATATTTTATTGTTTCAGCGGAAGATAGGAAACTTGGTAATAGCACGATTTGTCTAAAAATCTTAGCACAGTCTAAACAAGACAGTCCAATTTTGTCAAATTTCATTCTGATAAAATATGACGATTGCAACCAAAAAGTGCTGTAGATTGGATTCAAACCCTACAGGAAAGACTTCAAACTAACGAAGAACTATATTGCTGAAGATCCATCGAACCCACTCAAATTTTTTCTGCGAAACAGTAATTTTCTACAAGGTGTGCTCATAGTTCAAGTTACCGTAGAACACCCTACGATTCAAAAAAAACCGACTAATTTTATTTTAAGCCCTTATTAAATTATGATGAAAATTTGTTGAACGACGAATTGTTGAAAAAGTTTTACATCTAGAATAAATTATTTTTGAAAAAGTAAATTTTTTTCAAAAGTCTTTCTTGCGTTCGATTTCAATTTAAAACGATAAATCAATATTTATGGATGGACATCCCCAGAAACCAGCATAGAGACATTTTTTTCTGGATTTTTTTAAAAATGGATTTGTAGATTATATTACTGACGAATTATCAATAAAAACGAAAATTCAAAAAAAAACCTTTTTTTTTTGAAACAATTTTAAATTTTTAAATTTAAGGCTTTACAAGTTTTGAGCATCACATAAACATTGATGGACATCCGGAGAAACACAATTCTTTTCAGTAAAATGATGTACACACTACTGTTCAAAATTTACATAGTTGACAAATGAAGATTTTCTGAAACTAAGAATTATTTTCTGAAATCTCTAACACTACAATTTTCAAAAATTTCAATTTTTCTAGAAACCAAAGTTCCCTCAATTTCAGGTGAGATAGATTATTTGAAATCTTAGCTTTACAAAAAAAATGCTGATATTTTTTACCATATAGCAGGGGCTAAGGTACATCGATTGAAGTATTAAAGATCCAATATTTCTCTTGAAATATCTTTATCTTGAAACAGTGATTTTTTGACGAATTTTCGAAAATAAGATTTTCCAAATTTTGAGGAATGGGAGGACAATTCCAGAGCAACATATAAACGCTACCGTAGTACTTTCCATTGTTTAAAATCAGTTTTAAAAAAATCTGAAACTGTGAATATTTTCCGAGATTTCCAACTTTCCCATTTTCGAAAACTGGAAAATTAAAAAAATGTTCGACCGTTACTTTTCTAGAAACCAAATTTTTTCTATTTTCAGGTTATGACTCTGTTTGATTTTCTGGAAAATCCAATAATTCATTTATCTTGAAGCAATAATTTTGAGGAATTTTCGAAGTTATTATTTTTAGAAGATTGGTGGACGGATTCGCGGACATTCTGAGTAACCGGAAAACATTATTGAACTTCTTTTCAGGCTCTGCGACGTTTCGAAAGCAGACGTTTCGCAAGTAACAGCTTTGCACTTTTTTGCATCGAAGAAAAAGATAAAACTTGTATTTGAGTGTTTAAATGATTTTTCGAATAGAATTTTGTATATTTGAATCTGTTTCACACATTTTTCGATTTATTTCGCAAGTGTGACGTTTCGAAAGTAAAAACGGCAATTAATGCTTTGAAAGCTTAAAATATGCAAATCGAAAAACCATTTAAACACTCAAATACAAGTTTTTGCTTTTTATTCCGTGCAAAAAAGCGCAAAGCTGTTACTTGCGAAACGTCACACTTTCGAACAGTCTGCTTTCGAAACGTCGCGGAGCCTCTTTACATCGTTTGAAGTTAACAAAAAAATTTTCTGAAACTGTGATTTTTTTTTAATTTCCCAATTGGAAACTTTCTACAAAAAAATTTTGTTAGCGATTTTGCCTAGAAACTGAAATTTCCCTTGCTACACATCGATTCAATTACTGGAAATCCATTAATTCGTTTTTTTCGAAACAGTAATTTGTTATTCTCATTTTCTCATTTCGATCCTAAATGTTCTTGACCTATGTTCCTTTAATCTTTGTTGCCATTCAAAAAACTCCTCTCCAAGAATTAAAAGTCAATAGAGCAGTAGAAAGAGTCTATATTTATTTTCATCATGTTTTTTTTCTGTTTTCTCTAAAGATCAGCGACAACTATTCTCTTTTTCTCTCATCTGACTCATCATTTTTTGTTGCACAATTATTGTTGATGTTCAGTTTGTACGTATGCTTTTTTGTTTCATGCAATAGGTTTTTTTGTCTGTCTGTCCCTGTATAATAAATCCGCACTTAAACCCTCCCACATTTTCCGGTTACTGCAGCACTTCTCTATCAAAACTGTCTAGTTTTGGAAAGAGAAAAATTCGAAAGGGAGCAAAAACAGATGCGAACATCAAGTCATAGTACAGTGCGGTCAATATTTTGAGAACGGGTAGAGGTATAAAAATTTTGTTAAGCCATTCGAGACTTTTAATGAGCCTACCACTTTCCGTACGAAAGTACAACCAAAAAGACCAATTTCTGGCTAGTCAAAATCTTTAGCACCGCCTGGAAATTTCGAAATCTTGTTCATTTTTTTTTCGAGTTTTTCCAAATTATATTTTTCCTAATTTTTAGGTATTTTTGTAAAAATGACACATTTTGATTTCATACCATGCTCAACTATGATGTCGTGGGAAAATTGTTGAACTGCATTTTGGTGACGAATTTTGAAAAACAGTTTTTATCGAAAATAAATAATTTTTGAAACAGTGCTTTTTTTCAAAATTTCTTATATGAACAAAATGTCGAGAACTACATTCTTATGCCTCCCCCCCCTCCTTTAAAAACCATTGGTTTTCCTGAGTTTCCTCTGAATCTACAGACATCCAGGTAATAAAACCTTTTGCCGTTCACAGCATAAAAGAACCTTTTGCCCTTCACATCAATAAATTATTGAAATACCCGTTGGATGTACAAAAAACATTTTTTGAAACGGTAATACTTTCTATATTGAATCCCAATTCCAAACGATGACCTAGTGTTTGTGACATCGCGACAAACCTCCATACATACAAACTTTTTTCCGGAATTCGCAAAAATTGATGTTATTAGGGAAATATTTTTCAGGCTGCTCGCGCTCTACCTCACCGCCCGAGTGGAAGAGTTTTTTGGTGGATGGCGGCCGGGGGCCGGCGGCGATATTTCAATTTTAACAAGATTTTCCGATTGATTTTCTACAATAAAACTTCATTTTTCATACTTTTTCTTCGGTTTTATTTAGAGAAAATAGCAGAAAACTGTGAGAAGTACTGATTTTTTAGCTTTTCTCAGCTTTTCAGCAAAATTTTTCGGTTTTGAAGCCAGACATCGAAGGCTTTGATAGGTTATCATTGTTTTCGAAAGAAAATCAATACAAAACCCCTGAAGCAAACGAAAGAAACGAGAGAAAATGGAAAGACTTGCACTGACAACAATGTCTTCAAAACCGAGAAACTTTGCTGAAAAGCTGAGAAAAGCTATAAAAATCAGTACTTCTCACAGTTTTCGGCTATTTTCTGCAAAAAAAACCGAAGAAAAAGTATGAAAAATGAAGTTTTATTGAAGAAAATCAAGCGGAAAATCGTGTTAAAATTGAAATATCGCCGCCGGCCTCCGGCCGCCAGCCACCACCAAAACTCTTCCATTTGGTCGGTGCGGTAGAGCGCGAGCGGCCTGAAAAATATTTCCCTAATATTAGCGACTAATTATCAATAATAACAAAAATTTAAAAAAAAAACTTTTTTTGAAGCAGTAATTTTCATTTCTGAATTCAAGGCTCTCCAAGTTTTGATCACTACAGGAACAAGACATTGGCGGACATCAGGACAAGCTGACACGACATGGTAGAAAAAATACAACGTTCAAAATTCACATAGTTAAAAAAATTTTCTGAAACTGTGAATCATTTTCTGAAATTTCCCACACTCCCATTCTCGGAAATTAAACAATTTGAAAACTGTGATTTTTCTAGACACAAAAATTTCACAATTCTCAAATTATGATCAGCTGAAATTAATGTGCTGCACAAAAATTTTTTTTTGAAGTACCATAGTCTAAATCTATCATCGACTGAATTATGAAAAATCCAATAATTAAATTAAATTTGAAAAAACAAAAAATAGTCATTTTCAGAAACCACTGACCACAGTTTAATGAAAACCCATTGATTCATTTTTTTTGAAACAATTTTTTACTCTCGGATATTTGCGGACGGCAGTGTAACTGTTCAAATATCACATAGTTCAAAAAAGAAGATTTTCTGAAACAGAATTTAAATCTAAAAATTTCTGTGATTTGTCTAGAAACTAAAATTTTCAGGCTGTTTTGGTTTTTGTATTTGAATTGCACAAAAATACATATTTTTGAACTACAATTTACTACTCGTTAATTACAGATCGGTGTAATTATAGAAAATTCCTAAATTCATTTAAGTGAAACAGTGATTTTTAAGGGAATTTTTAAAATTATTATTTTCCAAGTTTTATGGAATCGGCAGACATTTCGAGCAACAGAAGAGCGTCTGCATTCGCTTTTTCGTTATTTGAAAATCCTGAAAAAAGATTCCCTGAAATTCAAAAATTCAAACATATTCCACATTTTGTGGATCTTTTTGATTTTTC